CCCTCCTTTCCGTCTCATCATAGACAATGAAAAGACTATCTTTTAAAACGAAAAAACCCAAACCCATATATTATTATACAGCGGAGTCAGCTTGAATCATACGCTTGGCTGCTGGATTTTACCTCGGTTTAGCCGACTTTTCAGTTTGGAGACGTTACTCGAATGGGAAAAAAATCGAGTTTTTATTTTCTTTCGGTTTACAGCTAGATTTCGGATTAAATGTGTTCGGTTTAAGCCGACGTCACTGCAGATCTGTGGTTACCATAGCCACAGTGAGTCCGCTGGCTCTCTGGGCGTCCCCAATCCTCTTGAGTCGTTCCCCGAGCGTCTTCTGGAGCTCTCCCAACGTCATCACAGCGTCCTCCACACGATGGGACTCCGACTTGAGGGTTTCCACCTTGTCGTCCACCGCTTATTGGAGAAAAAAGAAAGGGAAAGGAAAAGTTCATAGTCGTGAGCATTCTACATCCCTGTCGACCCAAGGAAGCGGGATGTTTCTTATCTATAGATCCTGTTGCTTTTAGTATTTCAGAATGTTTGCTAGCCTGGTTGCGATGCTCTATAATAATTAATGATAAGCAATCATTGTAATAATAGATAGCATTTGTATAGCGCAAATTGTCGCTCAACAGCAAGCTCTATGCGCGTTACAGCCTATACTATTAGCCCAGCATACCTGATAGCATTCTGCAACAATCGCAACTTCCTGGATAGTGCACAAAGGAAGCTGCCATTTATATGCGCTAAAACACAAACATACTGGCAAGATCTTTGGCCGTCTATGGCCGAGTACCCATTCCCACCCGTGTGAAGTGAGGAAAATGCGTGTAAAGTGCCTTTCCCAAGGATACAACTTCAGGCATGCGGCTCAAACTCCCGAACCTGCAAGCCGGTTGTATGTATAGCATATATTGATATATCACCGCTCAACACCAAGCTCTATGCTCTTTACAATCTAAATCCATAAACAGGGTTGAGTTTAAAAGGGTAATTTTCTACAATCCTGGCCATGCGCATAAATGAAGGGGGGGAGTAAATGAAATGCTTTGCCAAGCAGATTTGTTTATTCATTATGATGTTGTATCCCTGTATGTCATCCACCTTGAGTTGACTAGACAGGCAGGTTCAGTTCAGTAAGCTTTCCTTCTAAAGGGCCTAAATCGTCTCCATAGGGCCGTAAAAGATACGCAGTTACCGGCGAGATTCTGGTTCTGCTGTTCCTTGGATGTTCTCAGAAGGTGGTGAGTCAGAGCGCGAGAGTTCTTCACCGATGCCAGCTCCGTCTTAAGTTCCGTGATGTCTCGATGAAGCTTCTGATAGATAGATAGAAAGGTAGATAGATAGATAGAGAGAGAGAGAGAGAGAGAGAGAGAGAGAGAGAGAGAGAGAGATAGACGACTATCTGCTTAAAAGTCAACGTGTTTCTTGTCACATGCCAAGCATTACACTGAAAAACAAATAATTTCTAATCGAGCAATCAAACACTGCTTTCCATGCATGCCATGTAGTAAATCAAATATTAAGGTAGTATAACTTTACTGGCTAATATTGGGTAGCAGACCGGCTACATCGCTCAAACCGCCTCCCACCCACCCCCCTCCCAAAAAAAGAAGGTTTTTAAAAAAATGCTGATTCGATCTACATTATGCCATCAAGTCCCTGGAATAGAGGGACGAGCTAGGAACCTTTAGCTCACAAACCTTCACATCATTATCTTTCTGTTCCAGGGCCAATATTCGCGCCTGTAGTTCCGATAACCAGGAACTTGCCGGCTTCTTGTCAGGGGCCGGGGCTGAAAAGTTATTGACTTGAAACATTATTATCTGTATCAAAGCGGGACCCCCCCCCCCTAAAAAAACAAACAAAGCAAAAAACAAGAAACAAACTACAAACAAAAACACGTCTTAGATAGATTCAAGTTCATTATCATAAATGACACTCTCGGCGTTAATGAAATTAATGTTTTGTTCCAGTTCTCTAAAAGAGGATCTTATAAATCTTTTTTTTTTCTCTTTTTTTTTTTTTGGTAAACATGAAACATGGCTCCCAAATAGATAGGGAATTAGGACAGACTAAACTGGAACATGGGGTTTTGAATGAAATGGTAACAAAGTACATGTAGATTAGTATGTATAGTTCTTATACCAATATAAATCGCCATAAGACTAACGGTGCGGTACAGTTTGGCACAGTACAGTTTGGACAATCCTGCCTAACTGGGGCCTAATTATGGCTTAATACCCAGTGCCTATGGAGGTTCAGTTTTCTATTGGCTTCAGTGCGCATTATAAATAGACCAACTGCCCAAACCGATCGAATGATCTGCGGCCTTTAAAGCAAAAGTTAGTGAAAGTCTTGCCACTCTTGGTCGGTTGCGTTCGGGATGTTCCACGATGGCAGCTTTTCTCCTTCCATAGAGGACAATCTGGCTAGCCTCGACGATCGAACCGAACCGAACCGATCTTGCCAATGCGCTACTTCAGAATTATAACGTTCTCTCTCACATTTTTGGCCGTTTTGAGTTTATTTATAAGACCATGAGGTCCGAAACTAAATGTTCTGTCTGCTCTATCAAAATCGTAAGATTATTCGGAGTCGTTATACAGATATTTAAAGAATTGCATTCGAAAAATTTTTGACTTCAAATTTCTCGAGACTAAGTACTGAGCAGATCAGATAGAAGTTTGCAAGTCTTAGGCAGTGATTATGATAAGCACAGGGTATTAACTTATCAGTAGGCACGTGTGAATGTCCAGTGTTCGCTGTCGTGTCACCTGGCTTGTTCACTTTCTTCATGTTGGTCAGGGCGGGGTCTGGCGACACCGTGAGGTAGCACGTGCTCTTGGACTTGCTGAACTTGTAGAAGTGGCAGTCCAGCTCGGTGGTCGAGAGGCAGGCGCTCTCGCACTCCTGATCCGAGCTCCCGGGCTTTGTCACCACCAGACCGCTTTGGCCGATCGCTAGGGTGAGGAGGTGGAAAAGGAGGGGGAGGGGAAGGTTGATGTTGTTGTTGTTGTTGGTGGTGGTGGTGGTGGTGGTGGTGGATTTTATTTTATTTTTTTATTTATTTTTTGGGGGGGTGGGGTAGGGTGGAGATTAATATTTACTTTGATTTTTGGGTTGGGGTTTGGGTTTTTTTGGTCAATATAATATGGTCTTTAAAATGTTTTGGCTTCTGACTTCTCTATTGCACTTTTAAAAATACATAATATTGTACTGATGATCTTCTTTTGGATATTTCTCTCTCTCTCTCTCTCTCTCTCTCTCTCTCTC